CATAATCGTCGTGCGCGCAAATGGAATATTATTGCACGCAGAAACGGGGTGACGGGCGAGTCGAGGATGGTGGCGGACTGACGGGGGAAGGAGGGAATGGATGGTGGATAGATGGATGGAAAGGGGACGCGAGCGTGTGCGTGCTTAGAACTGAACGGCCTTACGCCGTTTCGCGGTAAACTCGGAGACGGGAACTGCATTTCGAGTTAATATGGAATCGAGTTAGCGAGATTGTAGCTTGTCAACCACGCGGCCCGGGATAATTTAACTTTTCCGCTAAATGAAAATATTGTTCCGTTTGTTACCGCGCGGGCCCGACGCGCTTCTCTCTCGGTGGTATGACGAAGTAATAGGGGAATACATCGAGGAGATTTTCTCTCCAGCACGGCATAAAAATCGCGAGAGGCGGCAAGTCGATCTCGTATTGACCGGCCTCCTTGCTGTTGCTCCGTTGTTCTATCATTGAAATAATACATGCACGGTGCGTGATGCGAGTACAATTGTTATTTCAGGCGCTCCTGTGATAACATTAAATTCAACGAGTAAACTTAACCCCCTGTGGATTCGGGAGAGCTTGCGACTCGTTCGAAATATCGTTCGATATGGAACGAGCGATTCGACCCTCGCGAGCTACCGCAACGATCAGCCCATCTTGTGTACGTGCGCGCGCGCGCGATCGTATCCTTTCACCCTCTCCGCGCTGGCTTATTAACGCGAGATATAATTTATGACTGGCTAAACAGGAGGCTGCTGATTAAGTGCTTCCGCGCTGGACGCGTTGGTAGCAAAGTACGCTATAACTTATACTCTACGACGTGGAGAAAAAATCTGCTAGGTCAACTGGTGCAAAAAGGTACTTCGACGGTACTTCGATGGCGGGCAGCATCGCGAGTGAACTCTTGAGCGATGGATTGCGAATGGTGAAATGTTGCGAAGTTAGAACGAAAGAAGCGTGTTACGGTGGAGGAGGACATATTGAGTGGACCGCAAAGATATTTCTGCAGTTCGAACATTCCTGTCGTAATTCAGGCACACGTGCCCTACTAGAGATGTACAGTCTGTCCCACAAAAGCATATATACAGCACATTTGCAAGAAGGTTTATGAGAATGAAGAAAAAGTAAGTGCCATTTTAAAAATACATTCAATGACTTATTTCGTCATTATTTAATATATCGTTCTTACCTAATATATACTTCTAAAAGAAAACCATTTCATGAGCAGCAGACTTGCTCATTAATCAATTGAATAGTTTGTCCATTTATCGTTCTGTTTTCGCTCAGTAAATATGTTCAGATTTTGCGCATCTCTTGCGCGCAGTAATTGCAGGAAAAATGTTACATCTTGATCTTGGGATCCCAAGTAGTTTTACCCCTCACATATTGGGTAAAAATTAAATGAAGCATCCAGTAACTGTGAAAAAATGCATGAAATTTCTACCAGGATGACTGTACCTTCTTTTCTAAATAATTACTAGTTACGATGTTTTTTCTAATTATTAATTGCTAATTATCTTGGTGCCTAATTATTCTCTCCTATAAATGCTTCTCTCTTAGATGAAGTAAATCTAATTTATTCATTAATAGTATCTCTCTCTTGCGAAAGCAGCACGCTGATGTCTTTACAATCTGCGATCTCAGACTCGTATGTTAGTATACGATCGAGAGGCAGCGCGCGTTTGTGTAATACGTTCTTGTGGTAAATTAGGTATCGAAGCGAAATTGAAGCGATTCTCCTTCGAAAACGAGGGATCCCCCAGTCTTCCTTCCTGGATACGCGAACGTATCCACTCGTCGTCGCGATAATACGAAACTAATGAACGTAAAGGAGAAACGCGTTTGACTTGCTAAAGAATTGGTTTGCCTTTGATGTGTTTCTTCGAGATTTTACATATAAATTGCGTTATTAATGTAAACGTTAATGAAACACCTTTGACATACTTTCAGGGGACTGGATAAACCAATACGCGATACGTGACAACGTTGACGGGAAACGCGGGATATGATGAAGAATAAAATCGATGTCCGAGCGTGCGTGTATCTCGCTCTTTGCGTTTATTTGCATAATCCATTAACCGCCGAATATAAAAATAAAATGTTGCCTCGACATGACGCGAAAGAGAAAAAAAATATTTGGAATAACGCGATTAATTAATCAGTTTCAATTTCTACCTTATTTTCTGACCCCATTCGGCTCTGTAAAACACGAACACGGCAAAATTAACCAGTGAGATCACATGCACTAGACGTGACCCAGAATGTTTTATAACGGACAACTGATCGAATTTGAAACTGTTTTTCGAAAACAAAAAAAGTAACGAACACAAAACAATAAACCGACCATGTTAAGCAAGAACCGAGAAGCTTGCGACGCGGTCCTCTGAGAAGTTAATCAATTTCTGGTCTCGCTTGTGGAACACACTATGACAACGCATTCCACGTTCGCTTGCGTTGTTGTGTCGCGTTGCGCCGGCGAGGCACTGCGACGCCAGTCTTCTCGCGAACGACGAACAATTTCCATCCTTCGAGTTCAATAACTCGTTATCGACTCGCTGCCAGCGGAAATAATTCCGTCGCTCCGAAATCGTCGTCGTCGTCGTCGTTGCACGGGCGAGTTTGCTCGCGCGCGCACGCGCGCGCGAGACAACAGAGAAAGAGAGAAAAAGAGAGAGAGAGAGAGAGAGAGAGAGAACGAGGTCCGTCCTATTTTTTTTCCCCCGGTCCCGACAAGAAAATCGAGTTTCACGAAATCGAGTGCTTACAAATTCAGTCCTTAACGAACGAAAACTGTCAACGGCAGTCTGCGCTGAAATTATTTTTTCCTCGGCCCTGCATTCCGCTCTCGTCGATACAAATGGATTGACTCCGACGCTCGGATTATCGCTGTCGGTTTTATTTTCCGACGGTTGTTTTGTGTTTTTCCTCCTCTTATTCGGACGATTTTCTCCCGGTTTTCTAGTTCCCGTTAGTGCTCTCCGTCGAGGGTCGTATTATTAGAATTGAGATCAATTAATCTATCATCACTGGCAATTGTATCCAGAATACGTGCAATCGATATACTCGCTGTGAAACGCGTGAAACGCCGATATCATTTGCAAAATAATAATCAGTTAACTTAAGTAATTATTATTAGCGAATATTGAAGCGATATTTATTTGTATTAATTTCGCCAATTATTCCGGTAGAAATTGGTCAATTTCATGCACTGTTTTAGTAGTTACTGGACAACTGAATTAACTTTGATCTAATAACTGAAGAATAAAATCACACGGAAAAAAGGAATTAATAATAAGTATTAAAATTTAGTAAATATTTGCCGATTTAGTACATATCACGAGATACTTTTTTCAGTGTACTTATGATTCCAATCAAAATGTAACGCTTTTTCTGCAAACGTGCGCAAGAAGATGTGCAAAATCTGAACACATTTATCGAACAAAAATGAATAAAAAACTATTCAAATGACTGATAAACAAACCTGCTGCCCACGAAGTGGCCAGTTTTGGCCTAGAAATATCCCTGAGAATTCTATCAAATTCTTGTTCATTTCCTACGCAGTATCGTTACAATTACAATAACAATACATTAATACTAGATAGTAACTGAATGGTTGGCCAGGAAAACCGTATACATTTTTACTAGAATATGTCACGTGATATTGTGATATTACTTTCGACAGAGAGCAATAATATAAAAATCATCCGTCGCTTAAAATTCCGAGAGATTTTTTTACAAATATTCGCGCGTTTACGGTCGTCGGTTGAAATTGAACTTTCCGCGAGCTGCGGCTCGACGCGTGGCCGGAAATCACATGGCGACTGCGCGACCGTAACGCGGCGAGCAATTCTCCGCTCTCGCGATTTATCCAACAGATATACTACCGGCAACGAGAGACACGAATATCCGTTCGACTCCTGCTCTTCCGGTGTGTCCTTTCTCTCACTCTTTACAGATCGTTAGCATATCTTCCTTACCTTGCCCTCAAGGACGGAATATCAAAGTTACACCGACGTGGCGCCGACGGAGATAGCCCCTTTTCTTTCCACTCCTCCGCGCGCGCGCGCGCCACCGTAAATTGTGTTCCTACGGCAATTCAGTCGTGAATCTTCCAGCCGAACGAACCGCTGCCGTTTCCAATTACAGGATGGACTTTGATTCGTTGGGGCTGCCAGACACGCGGGGAATCGGGGATCAATATTGAAATTCTTTTGAGTCGCGGCCCGGCACTCCGTCTGAGGACGGAAGAGGAGCGGAGCAACTTCGGACGGATCTTCCGGTCGCAAACCGGAGGTTTTCTGAAGAGAGAAAGAGAGACTGGGAGAGGTAAACGCGATTAATAACTCGAGGAGGAACTAGACAGGCACTGACAAGCGGTTAGTTTCTGTTTCTCAAGCGTCTCGCGACGTTCTCTTGATTTTGACTTGTGGGATGAGCGCAGCCTGAGGAAACTCGCATGCAGTGGTTCCGAACTGGCACGGATCCAGGTCCCGACCTGGATCCTGAGATTTTCCAGTCCAGAAATGAGTTTACGCAGTTACACGCTTCCGCACAGTGGACTTCCGGACGCTCTCCGCGAGCTAACTCGAAACCGGCTCAAAACTAGATCACAGGGATCGGATTGGATTTAATTTGGATTTTGTACAAACGCGTCCAGCGTGAGGAAAAGCCCCCATCAGGAGATTTATGTGTTGTTCCATATTCCTTCTCTTTTCTTTATTTCTCCGCGAGCTTAATCGCCACTTTTGTTACGGCGCGACGAGAGACGACGTTATTTCTATTTTTTTATATTCCTCAGATTCGTTTTTCTTGTTCAGCTAATGTATACAAAATTATTTTATCTTTCTGACGCGTATAATGCGCAAGTATTTATGTATATATATATATATATATATATATATATAACGGAAGAGAATTAAAAGCGACACACCATTTTGTTTCTGAGCTGTAAAGCCCTGAGTTTTAAAGCCCTGATAAAAGTGTGAAATAAAAAATTATGTACACAGATACAAACCAGCAACATTTCTCTATTAAAATATGTGAGAAAGAAAGAGTAATCTAGTCTTACGAAAATTAATATATATTTCCTTGCAAATAATCTTTTTTAAACGCTTGAAGATTGACGTTTCTAGAAATTAAGCTCCGATATACCATATCCCTGTCAGTTTTGATGCTCTACCAAATACATTTGCAGATGTGTTGATACATTGAATTGTGAACAACGGAAACGACGTTAGGGATCACCAGAAACGTCACGCGCGTCACATTGCGTGCGTAAAAATTAGCAACCTGTAAACCGACCGGTCGTAAATCACCCACCCTCTCTAAGCACCGGCGGGCTCCTCGCAAATTAGTCATCGTCTCTCTCTGTCCTCTGCGGCCCTATCGCGCAATCGACACTTCGCGATAAGAGTCGCCTACGACTAATGGATTCGTCCTCAGTCATCAGTGCACGCATTGTTTCCCGCCCTGTATGACGAAATCGGACTGGAACAAATTCGAGGGTGTGTACTCCGGCGGAACCTTGGATATCGACGATCTCTTCCTCAACATTATCTTGTGGATCGTGATGAAGGCGACGATCAGTGTCGCCATTATCAACATTGTGGCGCTCAAGATGACAATCATAAAAACTGGGAGCTTCTTCGGTTTGATGACGCTTGGCAATATCCTGACGTGCGCCGATGCCTCCTCCAGCTGACCGTTGCTTCCCGCGAGACCGGCCACGCACGTCCAACGACCCTCGTCTTCTTTCGGGCTGTAGTCTGGAGTGAATACGAAGCGTGAGTGCGGAAGGACGAGGAGGAGGAAGAACAGGAGGGATGAGTAGGATGAGGATGAAGAGGAACTCCTGCGAGACCAGGAACGACCGGGCTGGAGGGCGATCGAGAGAAGTTGTCGCAGGAATTCGTCGAATTCTCGCCCGAGGACACGAGAGAGAGAGAGAGAGAGAGAGAGAGAACGGCAATGACAGCCGGCGAGGAGGAAGGACGAGGGCGCGCGTCCTCTCGTATTTTATAGATGTTTCCTCGGGAATCGATTTCATTCGGGCGTGCGCGAGTATATCAAGTAGTTGGTATTCCGGCATATAAAGATGGAACTTTTCGTAGTACGGAATTTCGCGCGCTTCTTCCGCTTCTTCCTTTTCTCCGTCCGTCCCACCCGTCTGTCCATCCGGTCCGAAGTTTCATTTGGCGAGTGTTTACGGCGGACCCGAGCTGAATTTCCGCCACCTCGATGGCTCGCGATTTACCCGAGACTGCGACCCGACCGTGCCCGGCCAGAGTAAGCTGTAATCTTTCGCGCTCGTGCGTCTTCCCGTATATCGGCCGGAATTCGGTCACGTAGCTGATGCATCTGGTGTAACTTCCGCGCGACGTTACGCGCTTTCGCGCAGCTCGCCTCGGAGGCAGGATTGCCGCGGTCGTGCCGCTGGTTTATCCGGCTGAAATATCGGCAACGATCGGAAGCGTACACGTGGAAATATGGAGAGACCGGCGGGATATCGCGTAATCGGCTGCAATCGCGATGTGTCGTTAATTATTATTAATGTAACGCGCTCGGCGGCGGGCGAGCGGGTTTATCCGGAGTTATTCGGTCGAAATATTGAAATAATCAACGACGGTATCGAAATTGAAAGCGAGATGGGTGCATCGCGCGAACCGCAATCACGACGCGCTGTTAATTACTGGCCCGATGTAATAATAATCCATCCGCGAAACTTATTCGGGAGACAGATTCTCGCGTAACAGGGCGAGGTTCGGAATAAACTCGCGTTTAAAGCAGCGATATTTTGAAACAGTTCGATGCTCACTTGGATGGATTCTTTAAACCGTCCCGATCGTTGTTGCGCGTTAAAATAGTCACTCCGCTGAAACTGCGGTCAACCTTCGATCCAGCGATTTGTATCGTTTGACAGGACGTATTTTCGTATATTTCGCCATATTTTTACCAAAAACGAACCCTTACACCAATATTTCGCTATTTTAAATCCGCGAAAACCCGTTGGTTTGAATGGTATAAGCGTGCGTTCGGTTAAATAACTATGATCTCTTTTTAGGTGGGTTAGAGTACAAAATACTTGTTTGTAACATTGAAAAGCACTCAAATTGCGCGTTTTGAAATAGCACGAACAAATGCACGACTTTTTAACGTGCTTCTTTCTATGCTGAAGCGAAACTGAGCAAAAGAGGAACGTATTAACGTGCTGCCACTCATTAACAGGAAAACAAGTATCAAGAAAGTCAATCTCTTCAAAAATACTCGTGTCTTACTCGCGTATACTCGTTATATATTCTTTCGCTTAATAGACTGCGCATGTCTGAAAGCGTAAAAAATAAGCATAAAAATAATAGAACACGTTAAAAACAGGCGAAAATCAGGCCACATGATTAAAAACGGGTAAAAACGGGAAATATTTTTGTAAAGGAGAAAAAGATATTTTAAATGTACTTCAATAAGAATTGAAAGAACATCTCCCGTGATTTTTTTTTTTTACTTTGAGTTGAATGAATAAACGTTTAATTTCGTTCTGCCAATAAGTATTTTGTGAATTTCTTTCTCATATTAAGGGAATACCATTGCCTGAAAACTCTAACAGACAGAATATTAATTTTTTCTGCAAAATTTACGTCTTACTGGTTGTGCGGAATTATAAATGCTTTTACACAGTGAAAGTACGCGCGGAAATAAATTGGAGCATTGCTCGGTGTGTGGCGAAAATGATTAAAAACTTCAAAGTGATATCTCTAGCTGTTATTTAGTGCAAATATTTACCTGAAACAGGAATCCTGCAGTTTGTATATATCGAATGTGTCAGTGCTTCAAAAAGGTTGCAACACTATTTTTTACAAATTTCAGGACGCATCCCGCGTCCAATAGGAGAATTTGTTTTCTAGTAATTCTCAAGAGAAACATTTTTTTTTATTGGATACGAGACGCGTTGCGAAATTCAGCGAAAAAAAACCTGCTGCAACCTTTTTGTAACTGACCGTACGAGAAATACGAAAAGAGTAGTGCGATTGTGTTAGCGTGTGCCCGCAATGAGGGAAATTTCCGGAAGAACATTTCTATACAACTTTACAATTGTGCATAAAAACCAAGAAAGATACGAAAAGTTCGCAGAAAACATTTTATACATTTTAGTCAGACACTTCGTTAAATGCGGTAAAACGTAATAGCGCCAACATTCATCTTATTCACGTTTAAATCGCACTAACATTTTACGTAAGACCTCCATATATAAGGAATGCAAACAGAGTAACACGGTCGTGTCAGTATTTATGGTAACATCACATTTCGAGGATCGCTTCTACGTTATCGGGGTTCATCAAATTATTCGTCAACGGCTACGGCGTCCCCTCAAATAATCCACTTGACTTGTCAATTGTTAAAATTCCGCGGGGATCGTCGTCTCGGGCATGTCGTATTCCAGCTGCACCCTGCACGCGCGCGCATCCGCGCACGTTTCTCCAAGTCGTGCGAGTAAAATGCACGAGAAGGGCGGACGGACGTTGCGGACGCCCATTGAAATCGAAAACGACGAGCGAGTGTCGGCCGAGCCGCGGTCGCGCGCGCGACGTGTCGTTAATTAATATCAACGTAATAGTGATCTATGCGCGGTTCGTTCGGTATAACATACATGCGGCGTATGTTATACAGACGGGCCGGTCACACGCGCGCGAGTGAGCACACACGCGGCATGGCAATTAGGCTGACTTTGTTACATTAGTACGCACGTAGCGCGACCCGTCGTACTTACTCAGGATGACTAATCTGCACTGGGAGTAGCTGCTGCTGGCCGTATATCGATGGCTTATGTCATTGTAAATTCCATATCCGTCGGGGCGGATCCACCGGCAGTAATGAACTGTTCTGTCCAGCATGCGCGGAAGGATGTGGCAAGACAGAACTGGATCGTTCCGAGGGCTGACGGCTATTTCCGTCTGCTCGGCCGCGAGGTAGCTTTCTGAAAAGCCGTTTATACAGCGCCTCATTGGGAAGGAAACGTCTAATGACGCGTCGCCGCCGACGTGTAATTTCGCTTCTCTCGCGTCGGGAGCGAACCGAGCGAAACGCGTCGCGTTTTCCAGCGATTTATCTCAGCGTCCGCGCGAGATATCGATGTCTGGTTCGCTCTCGCGGTTCCCCCCTCCACGCAAATCACTCTCCGTTCTCCGAGGGATATTATCCCGGTCAATTTTCCGCCGATAGAGAAATACAGAGTTCGTAAGAACATCTGTCCGTTTTCTCTTTCCCGAGGGAAGGGCGTTTGTGCGATAATACAAAAAGCGAGACGCCCGGTATCCGTTGGCGTTACAAAGAGATATGAAACGTTGAGCTTGATAATTGCGTTAACCCACCTGTAACCGTATCCGTTGTGATGCGTTTTCACGCACGGCGTCTGCGGCGCCTGCTCTAAGACCGCCTTTGAGCTTAATCCGTGAAAGGCGCGACTATGAAATCGTCGAAATGCAACGCGTCATGAGATTGCGCATAATGCGTCCAAGAGGTGTACATACGCGCACGGATCGTGAATGTGTGCATTATTAACGCGCAACTTCGCGGTCGGTTGTCTGCTCCGTCAACTGAGCGACATTAACACTTTTTAAGCAACCCGTTGCATTAAGCGGAGTCTGTCAAGCGTTACGCGTTCGCAGGCCATCTCGGCAAATAACTTAGTTATCTCTTCATCTCGAGATTACTTAGTTAATTAGTTTCGCGACTATACGTTGGCGGCATGAAAGAAGCGCTATTAAGCTCGCTGCTGGTAACGACGTTGATGATGTATTCCGGAATTCCGTCTTTCCTTTTTAGCCGGATTTAATTTCTTAGATACGAGCTATTTCTTACGGACAACATCGCAATGACGATGATGAATGATAATAATAATAATATCGCGGATTAAGGTTAAAAGAGTCCGGATGCACTCCCGAAGTGCGCCGCTCGTTGTCGGACGACTAAACATTCTTCAAAGCTCGGAGAATTTCATGTTAAATTGAACCCTCGTAGAAATTTCATGCGTTTTTCAAGCAGTTACCGCCGTAATTATCTTAACTTCTGTCTAGTAACTGAGAAGATAATACTTGGGGTCCCAATAAAAATGTAACGATCTTCCCGCAGTTACCGCGCTCGAAAGATGCGCAAAGCCCGAGCCCGTTTACCGATTAGACGCGGTTCGCGAAAGAGCGAGTGTAACGAGCATTTACCAACCTGTCACCGTCACCGACACCGTCGCGTTTTCCTCGCCGCCGTCCACCACGCCCATGAAGCAACTCCATTGCCCGTCATCGGAGTCGACGGCTGCCGAAATTTGCGCTCCGCACTCGCCGTACGAGAGGCCGTCGCCTTTGTAACGAAGAGCGTACTGGACATCCTCGCCTTGCGTGACGGAGTATGCCGTGCCGTTCGGACTGCGCAGCCAGCAATACTTGAGCGCGAAATCGACGGTGCACTTTATCTGAGATGCGAGATGTGCTGGTGTCAGAACCTTAAATACTCCCTTTCGCGCTAAATTCATTCGGTGATGAGTGGATGTATCGTTAGCTATCTCGGGAAATAAGAAGACGCTATATATATATATATATGTATATATATCTCCCCTCTCTCTCTCTCTCTCTCTCTAAGTCGTTTTCCCATGATAATGCTCGACTCGACGAGACGCTCCAAGTTGATTTAAGTGAATGAAAAGAAAACACGACTCGCGCGCGCAAGTGAAGCGTAGAATTTTCCCCAATTTCGCGACGCGGCGCGCGAGCAAGCCTGATTTAACTGATTTGTCCGCGCCGTGTCACACGCACGGGGAATTGATTAATAACGTGTAAATAAATTTCTTTCATTGCCGAGGATCCCGCAGACAAGAAAGAGGGAATTGTCCGATGCGTAGAGAAATTCTGAATAATCGCGTCAACGCGAACAAATCCGACGTAAGGCAAACCTCTATTTTTCGAAATGTTTTATACCTGTAATCTCCCTCTCTCCTCTCTGCGTTGATTATTCTGATTATTCCGCGAGGTAAAAAGATTTCCGTATCCACCAGCGGACATACCCACGAGCCGTTCGAGGTTTATGTCGTGAATTTACCGTGAACGGGTCACCGCGCTTCACGTGCACATCGTCCGCCCTGGTTTCGACCGCTCTGCCATTAGCGCCGGTGTGACCGTCGTGAGAATCAGGATGGCCAACCCGAAGCACAGATCCATACATATCGGGAGAATAGCCGGCGCCAAGGTCGCATCGCCATGCGCCATAATCGACGCTCGCGAGCTCCCGGATTGTTATTCCGCATTCCAAAACCTTGCTCGCGTATCCATACGCCGGGCTAATGTAGGCGGAGTATCTGTTTCGCAGTCCCGATGAATGATTCATGTTTTTCTGGCCGAAGCATCGAAAAATTCGCCGGATGCGGTATTATCTCGCGTTTTCATTTTCATTTCCTCCCTTCCTTTTTCATTTGTTTTGTTTTTTTTTTCCCCCGAAACGTCCGACATAATCGGGCTAGTTTTCGCGTAAAATTAACCGAGCATTATCAAAACGGTAAATTAACACCGCGGGCTCTCGATTTGCATATCTACCTTTCGTTGGCGACTACGGGCGTTATGTAGATCGTCCTGCTGTCGGGCCGAACAAAGTTACACGTTTGCAAAGAAATTGCTCTCCACGATTTCAGTCGACAGAGCAATCTGACACCAGCGTTCTCCGTGTAATCGACGCTGGCATTGAGAGTTATCCGATCTGAAAAGACGATTTTTATTTGTCTCTTTTTACTTTCTCAGTCGAAACTGAATTTTGTTATTGGCACTTCGGCTCTCTTTTCGATTTCTGCTACGGAAGTTTCGCAATTTAAGGATTCGCTGGTTCTTAAACAACGAGAAAGTTCGATTTTATATATATGATTTAACGAAATGACATTTTCGATGAAATTTTTAAGTTGCTTAGTAAATAAGTAATTTCGAACTTTCCATGTAAAATGAAACAGTGTTGTATTTTTGTGTCGTTATACTTTTATGAAACAATGTATGTGCTATTTTGATTTATGATTTTTGCCATCCCTCGCACTGTTTCATAAAATTATGTATAGAGAAAAATAATTTTGCTGTTGTAGCGAAATAATCGTTGCTGCTGAATATTCGTGGCGATAACAATGAAATTAAGTTGACGTGACTAAATTAACTAACTAATTAATTGTGAATTATTCCAAATTAAAGCAGATACAGACATGATAGAAATTCCATGCGGTTTTTGAGCAGTTACCGAACAATTATATTAACTTTTGCCTAACAACTGAGGGATAAAACAGGAAAAATCCAGCGAATGGCAATTAATATTTTTAACAAGTCATTTCGCCGTCCATATAGTAACTGACAGATTTCCCCGCGACAGCATAGAATTTTCTGTGTCAGCGAATTATTTTTTTTCCCGTATAAAAGCACAAAAATATAATCGTTTTATTTCACCTGAAAAATCCGAAATCGCTTATTACACGGCCCAATATTTTCAACTGTTCGCTCGCCCGAGCTAAATTGCAAACGTGTAATTTCGCGTGTCTCCAATAAATAATTTGTAATCAATTCGGCCGCGTCGTCGAGATTAAATTGCAAATTGAACTTATCGTCACGCGAGTTCCCAAAATTCTGGAATTTTGCGAATCGTTCACGCGCCAGACATAAAATTCTCGGATATCCCGCGATTATTTTTATTATGTATCTCACGTCGACTCGTCGTCCGACGGATCAATCTCTCGCCGTTCGGCCTCACGGAAGTCTTACCGACGGTCACGACTCTGAATCGCTGCTCGACAGGCTCCAGCATCCCATTGATATTGTAACGTGCGAGCCACACACCCTCGTGCAGGACGCTGGCGACTTTCACGTTGTGGTAACACACGCCGCGCGTCATCGCCACGATCGCGCCGTTGGGATCCACTATTTGGCAAATTTTCGGCCTGACCGGGAGTCTGATCACGCCCGCGTTGCCGCGAATCCACTGCAGGACCGACTATCGGAAAAAAGCTCCAGCTGTTACAGCCAATAACGAGACTGATCCATCCAAGATCGTGCCGGGATTCAATCCGAACGTTATTTAGTGAAATCAAGCGTAACGGCGCGCCGCGCTGCGCGGGGATCTCGTCGATGACGAGAGCCCGTTGATTTATGTGGGCTCTCGCACGTGTGACGTGTGTTTGTTGGCGAGAACGCGACGTGTGTAATATCTCACGCAATGACGCGTCATTTTCTTCGGGCTTCTTTTTCTCCACCTAATTGGAGAAACGCGAATCACCCCCGGTCGGTGTCATCTCATGCAATGACGCGCGCATGCTGACACGGCTTCTCAGGTATCCGATTATCTCCTGTCGGCAATCAATGAGTGCCGAATATCTATAATCCACGAATGAAACGCGCGCACGAATTGCGTACAGTATTTACTAAATAGGCAACGCGCGGCGAATGCAGTTTCGGAAAGCCAATTACTACTGAAGGCATATTTGTCGATAATTTTGTATCGGTCATAATTCGTAATGAGATTAATTAATGCGTTTGCGCGATGCTGATTATATCATGCTAGCGCGTGGCTATTAGATTTTACAATCTAGTATACAATTTCGCGTTTAACGAGCGTATCTCGCACTATTCCACTCCTTCTCCCTCTCTCTCTCTCTCTCTCTCTCTCTCTCTCCATCTATCTCTCTTCCCCTCATCTGTCTCTGTACGAAACAGCGTTTCATTACTTTGTTCGGCGCGAATAATTCAGAGATCCCGTTACCATTAACGAATTTCACTGTGCTGAAAAAGGTGAATCGAACAATGTGAAGTAAATGATATATGCGATTGTGTCAGGCAAATTGGTGCTAATGTTAGATATATTAATTTGCAAATGCGCGCAGAGATTGTACGCGAAGCTAATGGTTAATTTAATACGTTTACTGAGTGCGTCAACATCGCTCTGACTTTAATTTCATTTCAATCCCGAAATATCGGTATAATCGGTGTAATTTTTTAACGTGAGAAATTCAAAGGTTTCGTTAATAGTAGGTAATAGAAATAAATTGATTTTCCAATTGATCATAAGTGAAATGTAAATTAACAGGTATTTACTCATAATCTGTGTATTAATTACGAATGTTACAGATTGAAAGGTCGAAAAAAGCCGGCAATCAGAAGTGGATCGGGGATCGCGTTACCAATCGAACCACCCCGGTAAATGCAAATGAAGAAACAATGCTAACGGAGTATCTGTTGTTCGTCCGTACCAATAATTCGATCAGATCTTGCGTAACGATAACGAGCGATCAAGTTCATCGTACATGTTAATTAACCCGCACTCCTGCACAGGGATCCAGTTATCGCGATTGTTATCTTATCGCGCGCGCACACATTATTGGGGTTCTCCACGACTCATGGAATACGAATGCAGAGTCGGGCATTTTCAAATGTTTACTACCCCAGACACCGCAAACAAACACAGTTTCCCCCCCCCCCCTTTTTTATATCAAGATCAAATTATCTTTTAATTTGGTTTAATTTTCGCTCGCGATCTTCCCGTTAGGATCTGCATTTAATCCGTCGATCATACACAAACGCACACAGAAAGTTCGTTTAGCAATAACAACATCGTGCGGAATCCCACCTCTCCGTCGCGCATTTAAAAACACACAACGACGCGCTCCTTTCCGTCAGCCTCCTCTGGTTTTATCCTTTCTTTTTTCTCTTTCTCTTTTCTGCGACATTCCCTTCTTGAACTAACGGGAGAGTGGCGTGTGCGTATCCGAGGTTACAAACGCCTCTGCCCTCCTTTTTTTTTCCTAACATTTGTTACATCGTATTTAACGATAGCTACGTGTTCCTCGAAACAGCGATAGCTCGCGCGTTCAGCCCCGGCTATCTCGTTAGCCGTCTATTATAGCAAGTTGGCGTGAGTTGGTACAACTTCGGTACGGAACCCGTCCCTGTAAACGGCGGCGTGCACTCTCGTTAGCGACATCGAAGATTATTCGGCGCATTCAGGGTCCGCCGGGTTCCGCACGTCCCATGTGAACCCGGTTTCCCGTTAAAAGCCGGAGCCGTTCTCTCTCTCTCTCTCTCTCTCTCTTTCTCTTTTTGAGAGCGAGCGGCGTTTGAGAAGGAGAGAGAGAGAGAGAGAGCAGCCGACGTCTGAACGCAATGTGGAGCCCGATCGTTACTTTTATTTTTACGCCGCTATTTTGCGACAGTTTATTGCAACGTGCTTTCGGCCGCGCGCGCGACCGCTGGCGCGCCAAATTTGGGAGATTTTAAAGGAAAAGCGGGCGCGAACGATCGCCGGGATAATCGCTCTTCGGTCTCTCCGGGCCGCTTCCCACCGGGCATTTACAATTTCCCGAGGGTGCGCGCAAATAAAAAGGAAAGAAAAAAAAGGAACGGCCGTTTCACCGGGCAATTCACTGCAGGAATTAATTGACGCGCTCAATTCGCCGAAGAAAACAGCGATTTACCGCGCCGAGGGCGATAAACGCGCGATATCATCCGCCGATCCCTCTCTTTCCCTGCGAGACTCGAAATATCCCGTAAGAGCGCGTGAATAATCGACGATCGCGCGACTGCTCCGGTCCAAGAGATGCACCACACGTGTATAAATATGATAAATAAAGTATTAAATTATTAACGTCATTTGCTGCGCTGCATTCCCCGATTCAATAATTCAATCGCGCGGTATAACGTATTCCTCGTTGCGAATGCATGAACTCCCCGTTAATCCGCAGTAACAGATATATAAATGAACGCTTCAGAGTAACGCGTATAACGCGATATTTTGTATTTCCCACCCTCTCCACTAAGACTCGTCGCGCCGGCGGCCCCCTCTCGCGGTGGATTTAAACGCCGTTGCATCGCCGCGGTCGGCGATCCTCGCTCGGGCGAGGTCCGCTCGATCGCGATTCCCAACGCGCCATTCGCGAAACCTCGACCATCCCGGCGGGAAACGTGGGCCATTAGCAGCGCGCTCATGTAGGTCCGCGTTTGATCGTTACTTTGTTTTCCGGAGGACGTACGCTACGACACGCGGCTCGATTCTGCCGAATCGCCGCGATAAAACGTCGCATATCCGGACGAAACGCCGGAAGAGAAAGAGAGAGAGAGAGAGAGTGACGGGGGTGGAGGGGGGAGTTGGCTCCAGCTGCCCGTAATCCCGAATGACGATCGAATCTAGTAACCGTAAATGCACGCTTTCGATCGCGATCTCGCTCGCTTTTACCGCAAGCCGGACGGTGCTTAGCTCGCGAGCGATAAGACATAAGCCGATATACTTACGTACAATGTTCGCTACCTGAGTCGATTCGCAACGTCGAACCCCACGACTGGCGCCAACGGCGTAGTAACACCAGCTGCCGGGAACTGCCGTTGCCGAATCGGTAACTCGGCTACCGAGCGTGGCGTTTATAAAGAGCGCGATTGGTTCCTTCGATTCACATGGCAACGCGGTGAGCGCAACTCTACGTCCGTAATTGGCGCGTCGGTCACCCGAACGACAAACTTTAATTCTCCGACTCTGTTTCTCTTTTCTTTTCTCTTTCGCCCACAAAGCGAACTGGAACACGTTAACGCGCTGAATAATTTTTCCCCCCCCCCGTTTAATTTTGATTTCGGACTTTTACTTTGTCTGGCTTTTCGAAAGTATCAATTCATTTCGTTTTTATATACGAGCCCAATGTGTGACATTTGCGACGAGGATATCGATTATTCGTTGCGACTCGTGTGTGTCAGCGTGTGTGTGCCAGCGTGTGACGAAACAGGTAAATTATTTTATACCTTTTTGTATTATACACGTTATCGCGCGTACATTTCGATAGGAAATGAACAAAAAAATCCCTCGCGTTTATACGGCTTTTTCAAGGATGCGCGGCATATATTTTATGGATTTACTTGATTTACGATCTCTCTCTGCCAGCGACTGATGTATAATGATAGATGGATAATTAATATATGAACATTTTGCATTTCGCACGCGACCGACAGTCTCGGATGTCGCGCGCGTTTAATAAACACGCGGGACTTTTTCACCGTTTGATGGTACGCGGCGGCGCCGACTGTGAAATATTAATTTCATCATATACGTCTATTTGTTTGTAAATTCTCACCCGATTCTGCAGATATACAATCGACGTCGACGCGCGCGACGATAACGCGCGGCCGAATACTTGAAAACTGATACGATAAACGACGAGAAATTTCGCGACAGTTTCATAAAATGGATTATATATCCCGCTAATATCCTGAACTCTGCACCGAGTGTGCTTTGCGATTCCCTCTTTCTCTCTTTCTCTCTCTTTCCTTCTCTCTTTCACGGATCGTTTTCGGAAAATACTTCTCGTATACGCTCGGAATTGCAGCTCGCGGAATTTTTGTCGCCCATTGCGGCACAGAGAGAGAGAGAGAGAGAGAGAGAGAGAGAGAGAATCGCGCGAACTTCAGGTATCAGACTTGGATGACACAGTTAAAGCGGGTATGAAGCTCAACCGAGACTCACCATATTGGCCGAGCCCGGCTGTTCCACCTCTTCCAGCTTGTACACGTCGACGTTGAAGTTCGCGATGTAAAGCGCGAAATCGTTGTCGGCCGCAACGAGCTTCCAGAGGCCGCTCGAGTTGACGTGCACTTTCATATGAACGCCGCATTGACCGAAAAGTTGAAAGTCGCCCCGCGTCTCCGCCAGCAGATCCACCGACTGCCCCTGAATCGTGCGCACATCCCCGATAAGGGGTGGAATTATACGTGCTGATTATACGTACCGATGTTTACTAGAGAGGAGATAACATCGTTTTCGCGATATTTCATGACAGTAGAGCTTCAGAGAGAGTATCTCCGAACGTCTCTCCGAGTTTCGGATAATATCGCGCCGCAATCGCGAGTGTTTATTTTGATTATTATCGTCGTATCCTTCATATCAATTGTCAACACAAAAATTATATACCGGATCTAACTCATGATTCTAGCTGATCCTGTGACGTTGCTTACAAATGCAAAAATCAAAACCTAGTTCTAGTTTTCGTTATATAGTAAACAACGATCGAAAGGAAATTCGACGATCGAGGCTTTTTCGTGATGCAGAGGAATTCTCCGAAATCATCTTTTTCAAAGTTAATCGTTCACTTTGACACGGCATATGGTGGTTTCGTGTAGTGCTAAAATTACCGCCGAATTTCTTTTTCTCACGCGCTTTACAATTAACCATACCATGGGTCCCGTTAAGTTGCACGCTGTGACACTCTCATAGTTGTTGACGTGCTTGACATCAACGTAGTGTCCGTCGCACACCCTTACGTGCTTGAACGGTAAATCGACCGGCTCCTGAAACACACACGCAGTCTCGTGCACTCCCTCTTATCGACAACGCTCTTTCTTTACCTCCTCGATTATCCCAAGAGTAACTCCGACGCGGAGCTGACGCGACAACGGGGGGTTTCCCGTGCAATTAATACTTCCGCGCAGCGGAGGTCGCTCGCGACGACCAATTTCGTCGTCTCGCATCCGGCCGGGCAACTTTGTTGGACGGAACTGGACGCGCGAGAGCTTACGGTGTAACGCGAGAGATTTACCTGAACGTACAGATTGAATGCTCGCGCGGCGCCATTGTCATCGCGGCTATCAGTCTTCTTTCCGCCGCGCTGCTCCCGCGCCGCCCCGGTGTACGCCGTCACTCGCCACACACCCGCGTGAGTGCTATTAGCTCCTCGGATGCTGACCGAGCACGTCCCGTTGCTCCCAGAGTAATCGATACGGTCGATGTCCCCTCTAATTTCGCGATCGCCGGGCGTGTATTCCAACACTTCGCCCCGGTTGCTCTCGAGGACGCATCCCGTCGCCTCCCGGACCGATTCCAGCCCGAGTCTCACCGAGTCGCCCGACACTGTTACGACGTTCTCTGCAAGTACGTCGTTTCGCGCGGCTCAATTAGCGCAACGACTTTGCGTCCGGCCGCCGACGGGACTCGATCGAGCGCGCACACCCTCGTTCGAGAGCCCCCCCGCCGTGCAGGACGAGAAGCCGGGGGGAGGTTCGGCGAAAATGGACCTCGTTTTTGCTTCTCCACGCGAAAAGAAAAAAGGAGAAACTTAACGCTCGATAAATTGCGAAACAAACGAAGGCTGGGACGCGCGCTTTTGCGCGCGAAGGGAGGAAACCGTGCGGAGGGTGGAGACGGACTCGGACGGTGAGGGAGGGAGGTGAGCCGGGGAGAGGCCGCCGAGGATGGTCGCGTCCCTACAGAGAAAGGGTGGAACCGCGGAAGAACCATAAATCTAACGATTTACCCGTAACACCGCGGACGAGGCGCCCGGTCAGAAGTAGCGCGTAAATGATGAAGAACGCCGTCATGCTGTCCGCACACGCGAGGACTTTGGGACACCGGCCGACTGAGTGATTTCTTTTATACGACGCTAATCTGCCGGCGATCAAACGGTGATTACCTATCGCGCGACCATGGGCCACATCGGGTCACACGCGTGTGACTTCGTCTATGCCGCACGTGTGTGTGTGTGTGTGTGTGGAACTTCCTAAATAGATCAATTGATAAATCGACTGATTCAGGCGGTGGGGATTCGCCTGTGTTTACGTCCCAACCTTTTCTCACGATTTGTCTAGCACGCTCTCTTGAAGAGGGAATGCGTGTTTTCCGGTGCATTCCAGCGCGGCCCTGCGATGAACCTGCGATAACTCAAACGTGATCTCGTGCACGAATCATTAAATAAATAACACGATCTCTCGGAATGTCCGAACAGTTTTCGTATATATAGCGCCCGATTCCCCGTTATTATTTTATCTCGTTCAGATTAAAAAGAGAGAGAGAGAGAGAGAGAGAGAGAGGGGGAGGGAGGGAGTACACGCGCACGTAGTTTTTCGATATCCACTCCCGGAACGATACGGTATGCGCAGGAACTTTTCGCCGTGCAAGACGAAACAATGGGGGATCAATGTTCAACCAGAGTCAATTTAATTCAGGCAATCCGCGGAGTTTATCGCGCGCGCTTTTGTTACGTTACAAAAAACAGACAAAAAAGCAATAGCATTTAGCAGATAAACGCTGTAAAAATGCGAGCATTCGATCGGTCGATCGGTCCGTCGGACGCCCATACGTGCGATGCGCCGACGCGACGATGCGCGAATTATTATTACGTATCGCAAGGAAAAAGGGTGGCATCCGACAGCGACGGTTGGACCTGTCGAAAATGATCGGTCGTCTTCCGTGCTAATGGATTTCGCGCGTATTATCGCGCAGCGAGCATTGACGTTGTTTCAGAGCGGAAAAGATTCCACTTTGGAGTATATATATCTCTCTTTTTCTCTCTCTCTCTACGAGGTGCTTTTTCTTAAATAAAGGCGCCGATGCCGCGATATATATCGGATTTATCGCCGCAGCTCCTCGACTTTCACGCTCTTATCGCGTACGTGACATCGACGGGCCCAGTTAAGCTGGAACTCGTGATCCACGTTAATTAAGTGGATCATCTTCTTCCCCGATCGTTCGTGTATCTCGACAGTCGAGGTTCGAATAATCGTCAGTCACGATGATTACTGGGACACTATAACGGCCTCGGATTCGACACGCGGAACGTCTCGTAAGTCAGCGGAACAAAATTTATTTCCCAAGAAACGGTATCGGGACTAGCGTACTTTGTGAGAAACTAATTGGTAATAAATTCTTGTATTATTATTATTATGTCTAATTTAGTTTGTTATGTATATGTTATGCATATATGTAACATATATATGAAGCTTATTTAACCCGTTCTTTACATGTAAGGCATTATAAATAGTTTTAACGCTAATGCTCTCTCGTCACTCTTGGCTAACTTTATCTCGCAACTTTGTATCTAATTATGCGTTGTCCAAAACAGCTATTATTATTATTGTATTGCTTCGTAATATTTATATTAATCTTCCTTTAGTGGAGCGTCATTTAAAAAAAAAAAATCTTACGGAGCAACATTTTTTTTGTAATTTTTTAGCAAACAATGAGCAATGAATAAAAATATGAATCGGAATTGATTCCGTTCATCTTGTTCCGCTAATTTATAAGGTGTCCATGCGGATTTAATACTGTCATGTCCGCGTCTATTGGTTCTTGTACTATTAATATCGTTCCAGTACAGTAATGATTAACTATTTCTAGATATATGTTCAGGCAGTTCTATCAAAATAAATCACAATATCGAAGTTATCTTGGTCAATTGCAAAATGCATGATTCCCGGATAATTGATCAAATGACGGGTAAAATTATAATTTCCAAAGGAGCGTGCATTAAATTTTACACGCACTTTAACACGAGATAAATTTTTCTTCCCTCTGATTTTGTGTATTTTCGAATGCTCCCAGTAGAGCTTAATGTAGGGTAAGAAGTTATTCGAGAAGAGGGAGACCCTTCACATAAACTCCGCTTTAAATTGCAACGTTTCTACGATTTATCAAAGAAATGATCCACTTAGGCTGTAACGGATTACGGTAGTTTAAAGCAGCGTCCGTTGGATTTGGCACATAACTAAAGATGTACCAGTAAATTTCGGCGAAAGATGAAGGGTCGTCATTCGCGGACCCCTGAATCGAATAAAAGATCAAAAATACGGTCATGAACCCCCGAACATTTATTTTTATATTTCTCAAAGCGATAATATTGATACAAACTTATATTCGAGACCGAAATATTTCTCCCGATTAAAAATGTGATAAATTATTAATTGTACATTTCAGTTTTACCAACGAGAGAGAGAGAGAGAGAGGGAGAGAGAGAGAGAGAGAGAAAGAGAGAGATATCTCTATTTTTCATGTAAAAGTATAAGGTGCAGTAAAAGTACCTTTATGTAAAGATATAAGTAAATATTATTTTTCTATATATTATATATAACTCATTAGAATTCTCTTTTTCAATAATTTCAATGTCTCAAATTCGTGAAATTATAAAGACACCAGCCGGGTGTAGGAAATAAATTCGGTGACCAAAATTATCGAAGTTAGGACGATGATCTCACAACACGATCCTCGGCAGCCATCGGGACATATGGGCTAGCTTCTTCGGCCTACCCCGAAGGAACGATCGGGAGACTCGAAGGGCCACCGCGCGACGCGATGGTCCCGAAAGGACTCGCGGCCCCGCGAAGTCGGAAAAGCCCATTTCGATGGTCCCTTGTGCCATCAGGCAATCCCATTTGAGATTAGACGCAGGCGTGAATTGTGTTACCGCGGAGTTTGAGCGGATCAAAGGCAAATTCCCGGTTGGGATGCATACGTACGTAATTGATATGCCTGATGGGGGTTTCCAAGTCGGATAGTCAATTACCATAATCTCGTTGCGGCAAGAGAGAGAGAGAGAGAGAGAGAGGGGGGNAGAAAGCGCGCGAGCATAAGAGACAGAGACGGACGGATTGATATAAGGGGGGTGGAAGAGAGAGGGAGGCAAGGTCGGTCTGATGCGGCTGTGCCGATTTCGTGTGGATTACGATTGTATATACTGGGGGGACGACGGCGAATTCGATTTCGCGCGAAACGAAAGAAGAATCCACGCGGGCCTCGTGTGTATCCTCCCTGGCCCCGGGCGTTTATTAGATTTCGCCGACGGTGTATCCCGTGTATGCATGCGGCGCGTCCCTCTTTCAATTAGCCGCCAGGTATCCGCGACGTTAATCTTGCTTGGTGATTGCGCGCCACGCAATTGGCGGCACGGTATGGTGCGGCATGGCGTGGTGCGGCACGGCTAGCGCGAAGTAAACAGGCTTATTATGCACGAGCGGATTCTCCATGAACCGCCGAAGAAGCGCTTCGCGGAAGAGGTGAAAACGGCGACTACGACGATTGCCGGATAAAACGACCCGCGCGTCCGACTCTCGGCGAGACGATGAGTTATCGATTATTTCTCGGAGCGAAGCTCAGGTATCATTCGTGTGAGCCGTGACGCCTTGTCGTAACGCGGAGAGAGAGAGATGAAGAGTCGTGCATGAGGATGGAATCGGTATCTCTTGATCAGCGAACGGCTGGGTCTTGGAGAGGCACACGAGCGGTCGCGTGGCGCACTACGTGCGTCGTTGCCTTTTTGGTTGAACCGATGTCTGTCAGTAAAACAGTAAAAAATACTGTGTTGAATTTAACACGTTTCACGTGTCCCAAACGGTCCATTCAAATTTCTGTGTTAATTTAACAGGGTGAATTGTAGCATAAAATGTGTTTTTTTAAGAATTCGGTGAAATTTTCACCGTATATAGATTTAAATATGGCCTAATTATTGGCGCAATTAGAAAGTGATTAACTTTTCGGAAACTGAGATATTCACAACTAAAGGTCACATTTTTATGGTTATACCTTGAGGTTAATGTCCTATATTAACTTCTATTTTTAATTTCTTCTAAACCACATTTGGGATTTTAATGAAAAACTACTGTGATATTAAAAACTAATATAGAGACATTACATAAAAATTTCAGAATTATTGACTATTTTGTTTTGAAAATGGCCATAGGAAATTTACAATTTATGGTAATGGCCCGCGATATATGTATAAATATACATATTTAAGTATTTATATATAATTTTCTATTATATATGCATCTATGCAGCTCAGCTGAAGCATAATAAAGTATTAATAAGATAAATAAAAAATAAATATCTCCATGCTTGTAATACTGTGTGTATTCCTTTTAATTTCGCTCAAAATTTTAACATTTATTATTTAGATAGTTTAGTAAAATGATAAGGAATTTCCTATAGACCAGTCTTTTTTTTAGTAAATAATAAACTTATATAGGAGTCTCTTAATATCGCCACTGAAAATCCAGCACTCTACTCTAATACCACTTTAAATCGCGAATTTTTCAACGCCGCAGCGAGATGAGCAGTAATAGTCGAGAAAGGAGCTTCATCTGACACGCGTCATACACTTATCGTTTGTCCCGGACTCGAGAGTAGCGTTTCTAGTTTTGGTCTCGATGGAAACTGCACGATAATCTTTAGTGGATTTTTGGTCATATATTGGAGTCGCGTGAGCGATAATTCCACTCGCCGGTAAAAACAAATTGGATCGCCAACATTGACCTCACGACGAAAGTCTATTTCGAGTGTGTGCCTATACTATGCGCGAAACAAAAATAAAAAAAAAAAGCAACGCAACAGTCGTCGGCTGGTTATTTTATGATCGAGCGCACTTTATTTATAGCGTACTTCCTACACCATAACTCCCCAAACATGCGTTCGTTTCCACCATCCATAAATAATCGTTGTCACCGATAGCGAACGCTGATTTACGACTAAATTGCCCGGTATTTCCTACGCGACCATTATTTATAATTATAGGAAAAAAGGACAAAAACATTGTTGGTCGCGTTGCGTTAATACGGAAGAATCAAAAGATCAACTTTTGACCTTTTAACGTGGCTAACGTGACATATCCGTGTATGCACTGCATTTAAAAAATCTGTAGCGACATCGATATGAAAACGTAATATGATGAGAACAAAAACTTTTGAAGACAGAAATAAGCAAAAAACAAAGGTAAAAATTTAAAGCCGATATTCATAATCGGATCTTATATATAGACCGATTTAAGTTCATCTTCGGATATTTCGTAGCCAATGAAACAATCCGTACAGCATCTAAAAGTTAACTTAAAATGATCTTAAATATAAGATCCGGCTATAAATACCGGTCTAAAAATCTAAGAAGGAAATAGCAATTAATTTACCTTTCCATCTATATCCAGGTGAGAAATAACTGCTGGCGACGTACTGGCTCAGATGCTAATATCGATTTGGTACTTGTGGA